AGTTCTTCAACGACTTCGTTAAGTTTCAAAAGCTGCCCTTCCTTCCGCTGCTACGTTATCAAGTCCTTTGAGAGCCTTCTTCCGAGATGCTTCACGTACTTCAAGGATGCGATAAAGAGTTGCGTGGCTCAAGAGCTCAAAGATTTCTTCCAGGCAATGCTCCAAATACTGTGCAATCATTGTAGACCTTGTGACAGTTCGGATGACTTTTCCGGCCGCTGCTAATCTTTATTGTACGTGTTCCATACGCAACGTCTTGATAGAAATATGGTCTGTTTATGAATTTCAAGAAGTGTTTAACTTTCACTGCGTCAAGCTTGACCCTGTGATAAATCGGCTTTTCCACAGTCACGCCGGGACCTTCGTTACTAGCATGAAGTTTAGCTTTGCGAAGTTCCCATTCTGTTATAGGCACGTATATTTTGTGCAATTCCATCAGCTTCTTAGCGGAATACTGGTTGGCATAACTGCTTAAAATTTGAGTTTTCGTTTCCATAGATGGTGCATTCCTGTAAGCTTCAAGGAGAGGCTTCAACTCATTCTCAACAGTAGGTCCTTCAGGGTTGGAAACCGCTTTGAACAGCGTCTCCCCATCATTCGGCGCAATGGCTGAACAAAGTATCTTGCAAGCTTTTGTTGCTTTCCTTACAAAGTATGTTTGCACCTCTGGGCTTACTTTTTCAAACTTGGTTTCCATCAAGGACGTCACAGGGCTAGTTCTCCCTTCACCGGAACATTTTCTTAAGACTTCTAAGCTTTCATTTACTCTCGACAGCGCCTGATCAGCATGAAGGGGAGTAAAGATGCTTGCGTTGTCTTACGAGCTGTGATGCCCTGCAGTACTTGGAGTCCAGTCTGTTTCAACCTTTTGCTGCAAACCTTCCGTTGTGGGAGTTGGAAGCATTGAACTCATCTGGTGAAGTGCTTTTACTTTGGAGGCCCTACGTGTCATACATTAAGGCGGATTATTAATGAAACAGACACACACACACACACAGTTCATCAGATCTTATCGACCATCATGCGCGTTTAAAACTAACGGTAAAAACAATCGAGGGAGTTCGGGTTTCGGTATTCGATAGCTGTGTATGAGAAGTCATCAGGTCATCAAGTCAGCTGTGCGAATTAACTACATGTGAAAATGGTGGCGAGTTAATAAAAAACCATCTCATGTCAAGTGAGGATTTTTGCCGGCGAGATATCACCGCAGCTTGCGTCGATTTTCTTGAGTTTGTGACAGAAATACATGAAAAATGAAACTGTAAACCGACTTTAAAGCGATGACTTTTGTTTTAATTTGTTCTTTCGATTTTCGGTTTCGACAATGTAACCAGTCAACACTTTTACATTCGCCTTCCCTTCTTCTGCCAATGAAGGGAAACCACAAAAAGCAACCGTAAGGTCCTAATAGAGTATTGTTAACTCTGGCTTTCGAAGTGATTACCTTTAAAATAGTTCTTTTCCAGATTCCTCTGAAGTAATTCCCACTGATGTTGTACTGGTACTTTTCGGGAGCTGTACATGTTTTTTCCAGCAATGAGAGCAAACTGCTGTTGGAAGAAACGGCAATAGTTTTCCTAGCTGTACTAAAATAAGAAACATGCGGTTCTATCAGCTAATCGTTATCTGCGAAAGACCTTGCATAAAGTCCATGTTGTGAAAAAAAATACTTAATTGCACCTGCATTTAGTTAAAGTGGATGGGGAGAGGGGGAGAGGAGTTTTCGGTTCCGGAGTGCCACACCCACATGGGTTGCTGGACATGCATTAAGACTTTGATCAGTCTTTGTTTTCATGTCTCCACGAGCATGAGGTTGAATGAAAGCACGAAACTCAAGGTGAGACTTTACATAACTTTTGAAAATAACCCTGAAAATAAAAAAGCCTTCCACAGGCCGTGGACTAAAGCAGACACGCGCAAAAATTTAAAGCAAGGCTGGTGGCCCTCGGGTTTCAGCGGGAGATTTGATTGTCTGCGTGATCCACTTTGATTTGAAGGTTCGAAAAACAAAAAATGCGCAACGACGTGCAAAAGTATTTTTTACACAGTAAGCCAAATAGGAAATTTAAACAAACAGATCTTGTGCTGGAGTTTTCATTCCCTGAAGTGATAAATTAACGCTGCAAATTTAATTAGCCTAGAGAAAACAAGTCTTGATTCTATCTCGGTCGAAATATTGATTTTTTTAACAAAAACCTAGTAGCAAAATAGCAAAGCTAAACATCTAATTCTCGATAAAAAAAATCGACCGTATATTCAGACAGTAGATTATGGAATCATTTCTTTGAAAGAAAAAGGATTTGTCAAATATTCCGTGACGGGACACCCGGAAATATTGCTAGCGTATAATTTCGTTTATTTTTGTTTTGTTCTGGTTTTGCTTTGTTTTCTTTGCTTTCTTGTACTTTACTCGCCGATGGTGAAATTTATTGAATGTGAGAATATCATATTGGAGGCTGAGCAAAAACTAACTTACGTGACCGAACTTGAACAGGTGTATTGAACGTATCCTTCATCTGCAGGGCCATCGTCCAGTTGGCGAGGTTTTTACAATGAAGTGTTGTCTTCCGTCCCTCGTGTTGTGGATATTGGCAAGTCCTCAGTGGTCGCCAATATTTGCCTAAATTATGTTTGTGTTTAGGATAAACTGCCAACTTCGTTATTTCATCGTGAGATGGATAGAAATTCCACGCTCTTACCAAAACTAATTCGTACTCCGTAACTTTCACTCGTGAGAGATAACATTTTAAATGGTTGGTAACATCATCCATGACAGGAAGGAAAATGAGTGCACTGTAGGTACCTTCCGTTGTCCCCACACAAAACCTTAGAAAAGTTTGTAAGGCTTTGTTTGGGGCAACGGGAGTAGGCTTTGGTAGATTGTGCTCGAAAAAAAGCATATTATGCTATTGGCAGTGCTCATATTTTTTAGAAATTATGCCAAAATTATGCTACTTTCTGAAAATTATGCTCTCTGTCACCGAAATTATGCTACTTACATTTTACACTGATTTTAAGGAAAATAAAGATCATCACTGGCTTAACTCTATCAATTTTGACTTTAATGAACATTCACATAGTCCACCTTCCAGTCTTACAGTCTTTAGCATCGCAAATACGCATGTGCGCACCTCGAAAAGCCAAATGATTAACAAATGATACAAATGATACGTTGTCTAGAGATTAAAGCTCTCGGTACGGCACTGGAAGTGCTTGAAGTGGTGGAAGTGGATGTACTCGAGGACGACGCCATCTTTGATCTGAGGTCTGAGGGGCCGATCCGCTGAGCCATAAGCTTGGTGACCTGAGTCTCAGTCTTATGCACAGGGTGACCTCTGCCGCCTGCCGGACCATATTTGACCATGGGCCTTAACACAGACCTCAATATTTTCCAAAAACAATACAAAGATTAAATACAAACTGAATTATTCTAGAGCTATGATGGTTTTTTTTTGTTTTCAACGCATAAAAGCTCGGATTATCCCAGCAGTGCTAAACGGAAATAAAAGCTGAAAATAATGCTCGTTTAGCTGAATTATGCTTAAAGTTATGCCAGCACAATCTACCAAAGCCAAAACGGGAGGTACTCACAGTGCACGCATTTTCCGTCCTGTCATGACCAGTTAAATATGGGGACCACGTCAACTCTTCCCCGTGATTCTCCACGAGTTATTTTCCCATTTCCGAAAAAAGAACAAGGTATCGGCTTTGACGACGTGCACGCAAATCGTTAATTTGTGTCCCACACTGCAATATCTATGGTCAGCGGCTTATATCAAATAGCATTGGTCATGGATCGAACAATTTTAAAGAAGAGAAATTTCCCGTTTTTCCAATAATCTCAAACAAATCGAGCTGCATGTCGTCGGCCAAATTCTGTATAGTTATATGGTTTCTATCTAATTCAAAAAGTATAAGTCTACTTTGTTAATTTTGAAAAAAACTGGACTTTCTTACTGAGGTTCGTTGGCAATGTGTAGGGTAAAAATATGGTGGTATTAGCCGAGTGTCACGACTTTATCTCTCAAATGTGGAACAAAAATACAGTTGCGGCCAGATGTTTTAACTGATTTTCACAGATGATGGATCGAACTTTGCACTGATGCATACATACATACATATACTTTATTTCATCTCGAATTTGGAGTAGCTAAAGGATAAGCTAGTATCTTCGAGTTACAAGTATGATTCTAAATACTACTAAAATTTAAAATGTAAAGTTGTAGCATTCTAAAATTGAAATATGAGAAAGAGTCATACTGTAGAATCTTGCGCTTGAAATCAGAAAATTCAGACGTTCTAAAAGAGTCCGGAAGAGAGTTCCATAGTTTTGAAGCCATATATGAAAAGGAGTGAAGACCATAAGTAGTAGTTTTTGTAGACGGTAGAGACAAAATATAATTTCCGCGTAGATTATAGGATACAGACCGGAAACTAAACATATTCCCTAGATAGCCTGGATAGCAATGATTGATGTGTAAAAGAGCCTGTGAGAACGAGCCACTTATCCAATTTATTCCTTTGAACTTAGCTTATGTCGCATGTTGCGATAAGAGCTCAAACTTGTGAAACTTTGTGCCGCCAGATTTATTACACTAATTAAAGCTTATGATTGCAATTATTTGTATTATTGAGATAAAGGGTCGTTGTTTCTAACTGGTGAAGTTAGAGCTTTTCAATGATCCGTTATCTCAACAACTGACATCTACAACTCTTGTAAAATTCTCCAGCTCACCGTTAAGTTTTGAGCACATTCTAGGATGCCAAAAGTTCCGATCAGAAAATTGTGAAAAAGTTCAATTTCTCCAATAATAGTTCATATTTGTTACCTACTTACCAAGTGAAGCTGATGCAAGAATTTTGAGCGAAATCTGTTTCTGGATGAAAATTGAAGATGAGGATCTTAGGGAGAGTCAGTCTTAATTATAAAGCCGAGGATGTACTCTTTAAATAACTAATCAAAAACGCCCTTAAGTCCTTCCATCTTGGTTTATTTAAAGGATGTTTAACACCTCTGGGTATGGAGAACAGACGGATAAAGGATGCTCGAATCACCGCTTCTTCAGAATATAGTGTTCAACATGCTGCAAAGTTTGGAAGGCTGAAATTCAAGGCAACAGGAAAAAAACAGGGAGGATGGTCAGCACTTTACAATGATAATCAATGGATTCAAGTGGATTTTACCAAGTATACTGTAGTGAAAGGAATAGCGACACAAGGGCGAAATGGTTACAGCCAGTGGGTAACTAAGTACAAGCTGCAGTACAGCGACGATGGAGTAAACTTTCACTATTACGGAGAATCCAACCAGAATCCGCCAAAGGTAATGCTGTCTTTAGGCGTGTAGGCATTTGATTCTATCAGGAACGGAAACTTTTAAACCGCCAAACCCCAGCCGTATGAGCTAGAATAGCGGAGCTAGCAGCGTGCGCAAGTTGTAGTGCAATAGATAAGAAACTATGGAAATGTAACATCAATTGTGTTGTCATCGGTTACAACTGTTTGACCCTACTACGCGCAAGATAACTCTTTTAACATGCATTTCCAGTTGCACTGCGGGCATATCTACACTCCGCGTTACGACCTGTTTTAGCAGACGACCGAGTACAAAAACTCTGGGCTCTAACTTGATTTTGTACCAAATTTTAGGTTCAAATTTTACCGCTCCTTCGCGATTACTCCTGATCTCTCGTGACGAAATAGAGACAGTGATTATTACGGCAGAGGACTTACCTAAAGTTTTACTTTGAGTAGACAGGGTTTTGATAAAAAGGTACGAGAGGAAAGAAAATTAAAGGCGAAGCACGGAGAATGACGTATGAAGTTTTAAATCTTAAAATGCACGGATTCCTCTAAATGAACCTGAAAATTCTTAAGTGTCCTCCTCTTTCAATCCATGATTTAATCTCGACCCTTACTCTTAGTCATTGCCACTTTCGGTCTGATTATTGTGTAAAGAAAAATACAACTTCTCGTGTTTCTGTCCTCCACAGCCATTTCCCCTCTCCCCCATTCCTCCCCCCGCCTTCTGAAGTAAAAAATCTTCCACCGATGATCAGGAAATCTAATAGGGTTAGGGGAAGTGAGCCTCTGCCTTTGGGTCTGGCAAAATTTCTCTATCATTGGTGAATACGCCGCTTCCTTGTATTCTTTTCTGCTTTCATTGTTCGCTTGTTTATTTTCATTGTTAGGTCTTTGAAGGCAATAAAGACACAGACAGTATTGTGTACCACCATTTATACCCTCCGATCAAAGCACGTTTTATCAGATTAAGGCCAACAGAATGGTATGTCCACGTCTCACTTCGGATGGAGCTCTACGGTTGCTTAGGTATGACATCCACTTGATGTGTGTGTGATTGGCTACTGACTAACCTATCGACCCACCGAATAAGGACTGATGAATTAAATAATGATCAAAGGAACGATCGAAACACCGACTGACTAGCTGAACTATTAAGCGACTAAAAGGGTCTAACTGAAATCAGGTTAGCATTATTTTTTTCTCAAATCTAACTGGCTCTCTGCATACACATCACAAAGCCGTGTTTGCCCATCAACACTAACACTGACTTTATGACTGAAATCTAGATCCTTCAGCGAAATTACAATGCAACCGCAACAACATATCATTAAGCGTCCCTAAGACCCTTCTTCCTGGTATCAAGCGTGAGGATCTCCGACTCCTGGACACGAAATGCAAAGCTGAGGAAGACGACACTTATTACAGTCTAACAACACCGCTGGTCGGGTGTAAAACTACACGCAAACACACGACTACGGCTGTCGTTTACTCCAATATGGTCTTGAAAGTTCCCACAGCTTCCAAAAATGCTACGATACGTGATTTAAAAATACAGTTCAGCTGTGTTTATTCCAGTCATGGTGTGGTGACATCGGTTGGTTGGAGGGCAGTCAACAGAAAATTTATAATTAGTGAAGAGGGTGAAGGAAACTATACGCTCTTTTTGAATATGTTCCCTGACAAGAAATTTGCGATTCCTTACAAGGAAGAGGATTTTCCTCTCTTTGTGGCGCAGAAACGTCTTTTCTTGGAGGTATCAGTGACAAATGATAAGCGGCTCTCAATTATAGCTGATCGATGTTACACCACGCCTTCTCGCGAACGAGAAAATGCACCGAAGTACGAGTTTATTTCGAAAGGGTAAGCCAAGTATTTAATTAAGTTATTTCTTGCTGTGTCCGTCAGACTCCACTTTAGAGTCAGAGAATGCTTTTAAATGTGTTAGCATCGCAAGCCTTCTAAAATCTGGCCCTAAGCAAAATCGACCATCTTCCAACGCTTGTGATGCTGAATGCAATACTTTCGCCCTCGCTCATGCGCATTGCGGACACACAATATAATTCAATATAAAGCAAGGAGTCTAACGACACACTGTGCGCCCCCTTCTGATACCATCGCGTTATGCGGCCCAAATGGGCCAAGGTGTAATCAGCTTGAACGTAGAAAAAGGATAGCATTGATTGAAAACGGTTGCTTTGTTTGACAGTTTTTCTATTTGTTTGCCTGAATTATAACCAGGAATTTTTCTTCTTAGATGTGCAAACTATCCCTCTGTGGTCTACCATCCTGCACCCGCGATCAACTTCCAGCGATTTAGCCTTGAAACCGCTAAATTCATTGGCACCGATTCGTTTGTATTTGTTCACTGCCACGTGATCGTATGCAACGCAACTGACCCAGATTCCCAATGTGCAAAGAAGTGTCCGCCAGGTAACCGTGGGAAACGTCAAGTAAGCGATCACGAGATGGACGCACAGTACTCTTTGGCCCAGGGTCCGCTCATTCATGTTAGCGAGAAGAAAGAAGAGGAGGAAAGCAATGGTGGAGCCAGTAACGAGAAGAATGGTATGTACGAAGACTTCAGAATAAAACATTTCTAAAGAAATATATCATACCGTACATGGAATGAAGTCACACCTATGATTCAGAATGTACTTTGGTTCTCTGAAGTTATGATTAGAAAGCGGAGGTTGTTGTTGTCGGCACTAAGTGCTGATGCGTGTGAATGAAGTAGTCGCGCAAAAAGAAGAATATTCTTCGGCAAACCTTCAAAGCTGATGGTTGTTATGTTTGTTTTGTTT